GCCTTGAATCACTGACATTGGTCTGACTCCTAAACCAAGAACTTTGGGAAATGAAACATAGATAGCATTAACTGAGGGCCAGATCCCAAGCAAGACCTACCTACCTAGAATACTGTGTGTGGTCTCAAGATGCTCTCTAAAGTCCCAGTCACCATGGAAGAAAATGCAGTGCCTAATTCTGCACTGCACAAATTCTCCAAAATTTTAATCACTTTTCATTTGCAACATTTACTAACAGCTGAAGGCAGGAAAGGTTAAGAAGCTGATAATTAGTGCTAGTTTGTAATTAAAAACAATTAGTTTTGCACCAGGCCCTAGTTACTGTGTTCCACAGGCCACAGAATAAGTGACTGTGGGATATCTCCTGAATTCTGCAAGCTGGGTGTGTCCACAACAGCAGCGCACACACTTTGATGAGTCGTACTATACACAAAGCTAAATTCTGTCTAAACAGCCATAAATCACTCTAAAAGAAATGGCTCAGCCAGGATGTCATCTTAGCTAGTCTAAAACCTTTTGCATTTAAATAAAATAATATTTATGAGAATTACCTATCTTCTCTACAAACACATGATTCCTAAACAGCAACGCTCAGTTTTCCCCATTACAACCACTTTAAGAAATTCACAGGACAGATGACAATGTGTTGCTGACTTTAACACTGTTTGGACCCAGCTTATTCAGGGAAACTTATTTTGTCCTGCAACGCTCGTCAAGTTCAAACCTTGAAATCCATTCCAGGTAACATTCAACCGCAAGCTTCTGGACTACACACAGAAACTACGGCATGAAATTTTATGGTCTGTGTTATTCGGGAGGTCAAAAGGGATTATCACAATGTTCCTTTTTAGCCGTCGTACCTATGAGCCTTGGCATATAAGCCACCCTGGAAAGCCATTCTCAGACAACTGTTTTAAATTGGACTCTGAGCAGTCCTTGAACTCTACTTCAGGAGAAAGCAGCATTGTCAAGATAACTGTTTTACAGCTTTCAGTCCTTCTAGCAAAAATAGTGCTTGCTTTGTGTACCTTGCCCTGTTTCACACACTAAGCAGACATCCTCTATCCAACCCTTACCGCTCTCTGCAAGCTGTTCCACAAACACACCAGAGCTGAAGAAGCAATAGTCTGTCCTACAACCTGAAAATTCAAATAAATAAAATATTTTTCCTGAAAAAAAACCCCCAACTTTGATATAATTGGGATAACCTGGATGGATCGGGAACTCCCCAGCCATGAAGACATTTTCCATAGCAAGATGGCCTAGGATAAAGTAAGCAAAATTTTCCTACTGGCTTTCCTTTGCACAGAGCAGGAATATTTGCTAAATGGATTAGAATATGCCTTTTCTGGAATCCACCACAAAGTTGTACTTACTTCTTTCCTAACATTTATTTTATTTAGCCTTTCTTCTTCTCTTAACCACCAGTAGACTGACAAACAGGGAATGATGCACAGGACTGTAAAACTGGCCACTGATCTGCAGGCAATACTTAATCTTTGACACAGTGTGGCTTACACACAGAAGATGAAGCTACCGCAGCTTTGTGTCTAACCCCTTACCAGCTAAGCTGCACTACATGCCTTCCTACTTCAAGGTAACTATGAAGACAAACATTTGCACTCTCTGAGGTCACATAGCAAGGCTCAGGTAACAAGTGGTTACAAAACAGTAATTTTGTCACCTGCAGACACCCACACATTCTTACATGATCCACTTCAACCAACAAGGAACCTGTTCCTAGCACCCAACCGAGCAGGACTTAGAGCACAAAACTCATTTCAAAGCTGTAATGTTAGGAAAGCCACAGTACATAGTCACTTCACTGTCTCTGCAATCCTATTCTGGCTTGTTTTAAAAAATAATAAATACAAGCAAACAAAAAAGCAATTGCGTGCTCCCTCTGAAGTGTACTGGTGTTGCTGGGACAAAGCTCATCATAGGCAGATGCCTTTCTCCACCAGAGTGGCCGACGCAGTCAATTGCGCATCCGCTGACTGTTCCAGCACATTACTCTCTTTGGGGGGTTGCACACGTTCAGAGGGGAAAGAAACTGCATTCAACGTCTCCCTTGCACGTCAAAGAAGACAGCAGCTGCAGAGCTGTGCACGCCAAGTGTGGGACGTGGCTTCTCCTGCACCACAGCGAACATCAGCCTCTTCAACCAAATCATTACTTTCATCCTTGGAAAAGTTATTCACACGTATATCCAAATCCTTGGCCCACAGGTATGGCTGCTGACATAGCCAAGGACAGCTCGACACCTCTGATAGCACGGCTAGATGTAACCTCATAGGATCTGCCAATCCCTTGCATCACCCAAAATAAACATCAGGATGTGCTGGAAGGAGCATAATTTAGTGAACAAAACTACATAATTCTTGAGTCCTTGTCCTAGTTTCACCACTCATTGCTGTACTTCTCTCTGGTACATGATATAATCTCTGCCTTCATACTGAAGTATCATCTCCATGATCTTCTAGCCTGTACAGTTTGGGGGATGGGATCTGTGAAGCACCAAATCATATTAAGCACTGGCACTTCCTCAGAAACATTGGCCAACAAGGGACTGGGAAAGACTCGACATCTTTTCAATCCCACTTCCATGGCAATCAGGAGCATTAAAGCAAAATAACAGTGGGTCAGGGGCTTTGAATTTTCTTTTTTTAATCTTACCTTCATTTCACAGGAATACTATTTTAGAGGTAGCTGGTAACATTGCTATCTTAAGCAGCTTGAGTATCTGCCAGAATTTGGTTACAGCAACTTCATATCGATACGAGTATACTCGTCTCTCTATTTATTCCCTTTTGTGCCACTCCAGACAGAAACCTGTCTTGAACATGAGCTAGAAATTAATCACCCATGGAGAAATCAGAGTAGCAAAGCATGGTAGACCTGCCCAGGGGCTTTTGATACTCACTTAGCCTAGAGCATATTTGGGATTGCAAATAAACTCCTCTCATCTTGGGTCCTCAATGCCAGTACAAAAGCTGGTGACTCCAGCCTCTCCTGAGGACCGTAACAGGGAAGGCAGAGGCTGATGGTTAATATCTCTCTTGGTGTTACACCTAACGCATGGAATACAGCCTCATTTATCCAGAACTATCACATACCTGACTGTTTGCTTTCTCAAGGCTGACCAACCAGTTAGGAAGATATATGGCAGCGCTAGATGAATTCTTTTCATTTTATCTTCACCATGGTGAAGATGGAGTTACCTATATTGGAGGTGACCACAAAGGAAAGTGAAGAAAAAATAGAAAACTCCATAACATTATACTGTAGGAACAAAGCCTCAGCCCCAATATGGATCAGCTCCACACTGAGCTGGGATTTTGAGAAACAGACCCTTTAAAAATTAAAAAAAGTAGGGGGAGGTGGGGAGGCTGTGTACAGCAGGGGAGAGACCCTTGCATCTGGACAAATTCAGTCATCCTACTTTAAAACTGCAGGCCAGCTCCTGATTTAACCTGGAGTTTCACGTGTCACTACAAAACTCTGGAAGTGTTGGCTTTGCAGATATGCCAAACATAAGAACTGTTTTCAGTGAACTCAGTATTTTTCCACATCTACTATTGTAACTCTGCTGGCAAGCTGGGAGTAGCAAATCCTCCCTTATCTCCCTCCTCTCCGAGAGCATCTCTCTGTTTAAGCACCAGCTAACTTAGATCATCATGTACGATCCCCCTTGGAAAATGGACAAAAGAGGGGGGTGGGAGAGTCACTGGGGTTGTAAGCAACAAACCACAGAAGGAGATGGACTGTCATGCAGAAGGGAAGTAGCAGGGGGAAAGAGGCGACTAATGAACAGAAGGGGGTGCGTAAAATTCTACTTGGATTGCCTCTCTGGGGAACAGCTGTTGCCTTGTAAACATCTTGCTAGCTGTCCAAACAAGAAGTTCAGACACAGAACAATAAAGGAGAGCACCCGGGTAGAAGCGTGCAAGGCATGGGCTCATTCACTACCCTGCCAATTGCTCCAAGTGGCAGAATTCAAAAGCCAGGGAAACGTTAGCCATACGTTTAACCCTGCATGTGCTGGTGTTATAGCCAATGGCCTGCAAAAACACATCCTTCTCTATCTGTGGTGAAGTCCTTCCTAGTCCTCCTCTTCCTCCACTGTTTCTGACACATCAGCAGAGCACGTTACTTCACAAAGGAAAAGAGGAAATATCCTCATCAAAGCAAGGAGAAACAGCCGCAGAGCCAAGAAATGAAAAACCTGAACGTGGCAGCCCTGAAGGCCTAGAAAAGTTCTACCACTGCCCTGGCATCAGTGACCTGGAAGTAGAGGGAGTTGCACCAGAAGAAGTAAGAAGAGTCTTTTTATTAGTCCTGAGCACAAAACAGCCTACACTGGCAGAAGCATTTCTATGCCAGTACAACCGTGTCCACACAGGACTCTTGCCAGCACTGCAAGGTAGCTGCGGACAGGGGAAAGAATACTAGCACAGCCATGCCAGTAAACATTCCTAGGGCAGGCTGGCCACAGAAGGCAACTACCCGCACTGCACAACAGCAGGCAGACACTGTACACCACCTTTGTCCGTTCCTTGATGGTTCTAGGGGTTAAAAGCACACATGCCCAATCACAAGCTTATCCAATAAACCCTGTCTCCAAAATGCCACACAACTGTTAACAAAGGAGTGCAATCAGATCACACACACATCTCCAGGAAAGGGGGGGGGTGTCACTTTGCAAGGAAGGCAATTCACAGGATAGTAGGACACCATAATGGACAATAAGGGAACCCTATGTCCTGAGCCTATAGTCTAGTTATCTACACCTTCATGTCCGCCTCCGACTGACCTATCTTGACTTTAACACATTCTATTCAATGCAAACTACACTTATCCTGGAAAATGAAATGCCTCCTACTTCTACTCAAAACAACCCGTAGAAGCAGGAAGAAGGTAAGCACAATGACACTCTCATAGTCAGAAACAACAATAAGCAACGCCACATTTTAGAAATAGTCCACAAGTTCACAGGAAAGACCTGATGCAAGTCAGATTTATTTTACCTTTTTATTTCTTTAGGGCCTTTTTGTTGTAGTTGTGCACAAACAGCCAGGAAAAAAAGACACGCTAGCAAGGGCTGCTCAAGAATAAACATTCAGTCATTACAAGAAGGGAAGAGTGCAAGTTCTGCTGATCAAAATCCCTCTGAGCCTAAAGAAAGGCAGCTGGCTTGTTGCATCAAAGTCCAAACCAATCGGGGACTCCACCTCGTCTGGGGTCACCTTTCTGCCTCTGCTTCTCTCTCTCCATATATTTATTCTTGAAGTCATCAAAAGAGCGAGTTTCTGTGTCTTGTTCTTTGTCTGGAAATAGGTTGGGAAACTGAAAGGTTTGTCCTTGGCCCTAAAGAGAAAACAAATGGTCAGAGAGACATTCCAGCCTTTCTGCAGTAGCTATGATGCATATACTTACAACGAAAGACCACCCTGAAGTTTCAGCTAGTGCAAAATGGTACCTCTTACCTCCCAAGATCTCTTTCCACCCCTCTCCCCAAGATACACATATATCCCTCCCCCCAAAAAAAGCTAACTTTCAGCCTCTCCTCTTTTGTGTGCTAATTAAGACACTGACTTTTTTTTACAGATGAATGGTCAGGAGATGGACACCTCTTCAAAGACTTTGAACCAGCTCAGAGATATTGTATGAGTCATACAGTAAAAGCAAGATGAGCAAAATAAGTGATTGTGTTAAAGTAACACCATCACGGAAATACATGGTGGAGCAAGCATTCATTATGTTAATACTCAGGATATGGGTAGCGGTTATAGTTGTTTAGATCTCAGCTAAGAATAAGAGAGAACAGCCCTAGCAGCTGTTACTGTAGGGTATAATGTGGGAATATGGAATAACAGATATTAGAGGTCTCTTATCAACAGGAATAAAGACTACAGTGTAAAACAATTACAGTGAGAACAATCTGTCTAATACATCACTGATGAGATTAAAGTGATTACATCTGCATCAGTCATTCTGCCTAACAGACAAATCATTTTAGTGAAACATCATCGTCAAATCTATGTCTCCCACTTGGAAAATAAATATTTGCTTGGTCTCTGGTTTTTATCTAACAGCAGGAAACCATTATTATGTGGAAATGTTCTATCCCATTATCTACTTACTTTTCAGTGGTGTTTGCACTAAGCACAACTTCATTAAACTCAACAATATCAGCCCTTCCATTCCATATGGGACTTCGCATAATAAAACTAACTGATAGCTCATAACTCTAAAATTACTCCAAAATACTTACAAACCTTACCATACATTAACTTTGGCAGAATACCGCATACAGAAATCTCAACAAAAGTATTTAATTGCTTCAGATGAAAACAGGGGCTTTTTTCTTTTTTTCAGATTAGCCATTCTTTACATTTGTACAATAAATACAATCAAACAAGAGGCCCAGTTATGAAATGGTTCCACAAAGGACATGAAAGGAGCCTTCCACCACACAGCTACCTATACTACATTTTGGGATCAGAAATGTGACATAATTAAATAAAAAAAAAAACGTCACCAAGCCCCTGACCCAGCTGAATGTGTGCTATGTTTCATTTAGCCATATACATTCAACCTGGTAATTTACAGGTGTGAAAGAATTTAAACCTCAAGCATACACTTTGGAAAGAAAAAACATGACTTATCCCAGTTGAGCTTATCCAGACTAGAATCTAGGAAATATCAACTCATACCCAGCAATGCTCCAGTTGTTTTTGTAGTGCATACTTCTTGGGGGTTTCCTAAGAGCCTGACCATACTACAAAAACAACAAGGGAGCTGCTGTGTACATTGCTCTGTCCTCAATTCTAGCCTGGATAAGATCAACTGGAACAAATCAAGGTTTTCCTTTCCACGGTGTACACTCTGGGGTTTCAACTCTTTTGTACCTTTAAATTACCAACAGGTATGCTTATAATAGCTGTCCTATGACAATTAAAGCATAGTTAAATTTCAAGGCACAGAAACTGGCCTTATCAATGTCCTTGAGCAATCCCAAAGCTGTAGCCTACTGAAACTCTTCCTGTAGTAGGATCAGCAGCAAGCACCCTTGAGGCCAAGCGCTGCCCAAGATTTTAGCACACTGAAGCATTTGGAAAAGAATTTGTTTATACTACAAAAAATTACTGTGTTTTAACTGCGCTGCGGGCGGGTCACTCAGCCCCATGGTACCTATAGAACAGACGGGGCCAATTCAAAGGACTCGTCTGCCCTGGAGAGGAAGCCATTTTAGTTAAACAAGTCAGAAAACAATTCAGGCTAACATGGTAGGCATACCACCTACACTGAAAATTTGAGAACTATTTATATTGGTAACAGTGTAGTAAGGGACTGTTCTTGTTATGCAGCACTTCCATTCTGGTATGCTTCCAGCACCAATGCACTTCCCTTATTGGAGAATGAAGGAAAGCTGTCCCTAAAGCATACTAACAACATCCATGGTAATTCACTAAGCATTGCAAAACAGTTGCTATTTTAAAAAGAGGGAAAAAAACAAAAAAAAAAAGATATGCACAGAGGCTGTAGCAAAACCAGACAAACCTTTCAGCTGTTTATCAAAGTGCTCACAGTTCCCATTTCAAGGCTGGTGAAAGTCAAATATTGAGCTGAAAATGTCAATCTGTATCTGGAGTCTTTTAATAAATCAAAATCAGCACAGACAAGTTGGCTCTTTCCAGCTCTTGTTTTGTGAAGAAATTCTGATTTTGGCTGGCAGCCAGACACGATTCGAAACAGCCAAGACATTACACCCTGAGAACTGAAGGTTGATAAATCTTAAGTAACAATACTATGCAGTAATACTGCACTGTAAGACTCTGAAGTGATGAAAGCTGTATGAAAAATAGCTGTTGTGCATGCTCAGTAGCTAGTTTTCAGAAGAAGCCTGTATCTTGGGTATTTCAAATTTTCAAAAATACCAAAAGGCATCAACTTACATAAAGGATTGTGAGTCTGTCCAGGCATAGTTACATTCAGTGCATCTTCCACACGATACCAGAAGCTACTGAGGTTCAAGCTCATATGCCACCTTCTCAAAAAAAATGCCTACCGAAGGAATGGAGGGATCGTCACTCCTTTACGCAATGCTGCTTTTTCTTACAGTTTTTCTTTGCAAAAGTTTTCCCTTCTATACAGCAAGCATTTGACAACATCAGAAAGCAAAATTTTGGCTTATTCCTAAACCTTGCATTTGTTCACTGCTTTACCTTTTGCAAGCCATTTAACCAAGGTCATCCTTTTAATTACTGAATTATTGAAATTCACATAAGCTGAAATGGGCTCTAAAAAGGCTAGGGCTTGGTTCTCCTTTAGAACTTCTGCCAGCGTAATTACCTTAGTTAGAAGCACAGAGGAAGAGGGAGAAAAGAACACCTTCCTACCTGACATAGCTGTGCTAAAAGAAAATCCTGTAAAAAAGACAGACACTGGCAAAAAAATCATTTTGCTCGGATAATTTAGTCTGTCTTAGAACTGGTTGCTGCACCACCAGCAAACAAACTTTTTCACCAATGTGAGGTGATACACTGATATCCTGGAGTTTGTCAGGGTAAGCTCTACCACCACATGCTCTTACATCTAAGTGAGCCCTTATAATGTTAAAAAAAAGGAAGAAAAAAAACCAAACAAAGCAAGTCAGAGAGGCGGTATTAAAACACCTAAAAAAATACAGGCAACATGATGATTTTACGCATTGCTATTCTCAATTTAGGGTCTTCCCAGAGACCTCCCTTTTTCCTACAAATTCTAAGATTATGTACAAGTGAGGTGTGTGGTCCAGTGTTTAGATTACAGAAATGGGAGCCATTAAACTTCTACTCCTGCGCAACTCTAATCCTCGCTTCAGCATTACCCAAATGTAAAACTGATTTATATACAAAGTCTTATGAGGATTCATTTGTTAAATGCTAACATCCTTCAAGATAAAAAGTGACCTAAGCATCAGTATTTTCCCCTTAGATTTGAAGCCTTTTTTGTTAGAAAGGCTGAAAACACACCTTGTTCTCCGAGTCTGTAGAAGGAGTTATCACATCGAGTGGTACAAATTGCCTCCATTCACTTTAATGAGAGGTTAAGTGACCATAATTAGGCCTATGAAGTCAAGTGTTAGCCTTTCCACTGCTGAGCTTCATGTCAGAAAATTGCTGGAAGGATTATCGGGCACAAACTCACTTATAACTTCTCTGACCTTTGCGTCCCTTGAAAAGTTTAGGAATGGAAGGTCAGCACAGATATCATTATGTAGGAATGACGCAGCAAACACTGATCACGTAAACAACTGTAAGATCTTCTGATTATTTAGATAATTGAAGCACTTACTACTGTCCTTCAGAATTAGGAGAAAAGTGATGTTTATAGTATCGTTAACTAAAAAAATTCTGGGCTCCCAACGGCACGGGATTCGGTCCAGCAGTAGCAGCAAATGCAGCTAAGTTTAATAATCCAGTGCATTTGAACAATTCTCCTACTATTGCAGTGGTAACATCTGATGTTAAAAGGTATGGCAAAACAGCACAGAAAGCAACTTCAAAAATCCACACAGGAATGACACGGCGTATGGACCATCCAAGTTTCCTCTGAATTCACTACATGTCAAAAGAAAACTGCTGTCACATCTGATGTGTAAATGGGTTAATTACTATGAATGTACCGGACACTCTAAACAGGGTTTGAGGAGAAAGCATTTGCAAAAATGTTCCCACCGGTGCCATCATTCATGCAGCTAAATAGGTGTTAGTCTTAATGCTGACAAGGTCAGACTCCTTTTTACAGCCATCTCCGTTAGATTTCTCAAAACAGGTTTAATTAAAAATAGGTCTGGATTCCAGAGGCTTGTCTACAGTTGCGCTCCCACGGGTGCTAACACCTGTTGAGCTAAACCAGTGAGAACACTGAAGGAGGAGGAGGGGATGTTGTTGGTTTTTTTTAAATTTCCCTGATGTTGATGCAACTGTAAAGTTTCCCACTGGCTTTTTTTTTTTTTTTTTTTTAATAACATGAGGTTAATTGTAACTGTATTGGAGTAAGGAGAAAGGTTGCTGTATTACATTCATTTTATGTACTCTGCGAAGATATATAGCTTTGTTTTTAATTAAAAAAAATAAAACAGTGTAAAAAAGTAGCATTTGATACCCAGGGCCGTAAGTCTCTAACTTAAACCTTTCTCACCATATTCCAAAAGGGGAAAAAAGGCAGGCAGGCTCTGGAATGGCAAGATATTGTTGATCTACAGCCTTCCATGATTTGAGGTATTTTTTTAGTGTGAAAATATTATGCTTGGACAGATCATGTATTTGTCCAGTTACAGCCCGAGAATAAAGTAAACAGCTCTGAATCTTCAAGAAATAGTATTTGGAAAAGAAAGGACAACAATTCTTACATGTGAAACAGCTGGGGCACTAATCTGACACCTAAGGGTATGTTGACTATGACTTCATACACCTTCCACCTTTGAGACACTTGCAGTAAGTTAACGGATATGTATGTTGTGCTGGGACACATAAGGTGATGTTTTATGAAGCAGGGAAGCGTAACTGGTCATGAGAATATACTCAATTTCATTCAGGTAAACCACACCACAGCTGCTACCAAGTCACGCTGGAAAGAGCAATACTTCCACCTAGTGGGCAATAGAAAGATCAACGCAAGACCTTCCAAAAACACATCCTTATTTTTCCAGTCATAAGCAGTTTTAACTTGAAACTGGATTAATGAGAGAAAACACAGCTGGTAAAAATGGTGGGAAAGCCCAGCTACTCTGACTCACAGCAGATGCAAACTGATTCTCATGAAAATAAGGATTTTACAGTGGTTACCAAAGACTCTCCTAAATTAGGCAGATATTAACAATGGACTGCATGGGGCCTGTTACGGCCTGAATCACACCATGAATGAGAATGAAGGCAAAACCTTCAGTTTCAGAAATGACACTGGGTTTCTGGCCTCACCCAGTGTTTAAAGCTGGTGTGAACATAGAACTGGGAGCTCATTGTCTGAGACACCAGAGCTAGTGATGAAAAGCAAAGAACAAAAGGAAAAAAGAGAAAGAAAAAAGGAAAAAAAAAAGGACAGACAAACGTAAATGTTAAAGGATTTAACAGATACCAACAACAATAGAAAAAAAAGAGAGCAAAGAGACTAGGAATGAGGTGAGGGGAAAACACACAGATCAAGCTTCACTGACAAGAGTTTAGTAAATGGTCAGGATTCCCTCACTTAGGATGAAATACAACACCAAAAGCTGGTCCCCTGACCTTGTTCATGGGTCAGATGGAAAACATAGCATTCTTCAAAAATTTATGACAATATAGGGCAATGTAGTAATGGACACTTGCTGTCTCATGTACCAAGAGTAGTCCTCAGCCACAGCACCACAGGGCTCTGTGCAGGCTAGTTTGCCTGGCAGACAAAATGAGAGGCTAGAGGAATGACCAGTTACTGCTGTCCAACAGCCTCCAGTACCAAGCTAGTTCGGGTAATTCTCCTCTCCATCATGGAGATGCCCTTAAGGTAATGGCAACTATTCTAGGTTCAGAGGTTTGATGTGAAAGAAATGCACAAAGGCACTGCCTTAAATGAGTGGCTTCCTCCACAGAACAGCAGCATTTTGCTTCCCACTCCTTCCCCTTGAGTATCTATGGGTTGCAAACTACCTCCTTCTCAACACAGCAAACAAAAGAAACAAGACTGCATTAAATACAGTGAAATAAAATTTGAGAACTGACCACAGTTCACTAAAGATCCATGTCTGCTTCAATCTTGGGAAATGAGTCTCTAAAAGCAAAGATGTCACTAACAAGAGGCCGTAACAATGGAAAGTGCTTGCCATTACCTACTAAGGAACAACACTCAGAGAAAGCAACTTGTAAGATACAACATTACTCCTGGCATTCAATTCCTCAGCTGTATTCTTAATGAATCATTCATACCTGATGTCTCGCAGACAAAAACCTAGCACAGATAATCCAGGAGGGAGAATTTGCCCACCAAAGCAGAGACTCTTCCTTGAAAAAGGAATGTGTTTTTTAGCCATCATAATGCAAAATCCTCACGGAGATCAGGTTGCCTTTAACTTCAGCACAGTAAATCAAGGTTAGTCTTCATCTAAATGTAACTGTTACTTTCTATTAACATTGTACTTTATACTGTTCTTTTGAAGGTAAGGACTGTCTAGAAAAACACACTCTCCTCACTTTTCTTTCCACTCCCCTTCCGAGAAGGGGCTTAGAGAAAAATTTCTAAGTACATTTAAACTTTGAAAAATTAAAAAAAAATCAGATTCCCCATTGTCTGTGCCTCTTTAGTTTGACCCCAAGTCCATATGAAGTCTTACGCAGTCTTTGAGATCACCCAGCGTTCCCCCCACACTGAATCCTTGTCCCAGGATGGAGTAACACTGAGGTTGTGTTGCCAACAGCAATTTTGAGCTTATGGTTTTACAACCATAAATAGCATTCTTTTAATGTAATTTTGTCATGTGAAGGGGTTTTCTGTTACTGGTTGCATTTCTTTTTTACATAGAGACAGGTAAGCTCAAGAGAAGTCTAAACTATAACATGCTTCTGTTACGAAAGAAATTCCTAAGAACATGAAGCTCCTTTTCCACTGGGCAACCAACATACGTTTCAGAACCTGGTTTAGCCACAAAGCATGCTTGTTAGACATGACTAAAAGTTCTCCAAGGAATATGCCTTAGTCTTCTCTGAAATCCAAAAAGCTTTAATAAGAAGTTCCCTACCCTTACAATATATTCTTTCACTTACTGGATATTTCAGCAACCAACCACACAAGTCGTGAACCTTCCAGCACACAGAGTACAGGGTCAGCATGAAACTCACTGGCAAAGCAGCACCGTATGACATCAGGCCATAACCTACATACAGACCTCAAACAAATACAGGACTTGAAAAATAACCATTTGTTTGAATATGATTTTTAGACTAAGTCATTTAAATCTCTTTATACATTCTGGAACGTATTAAAGAGAATGTCATTATTAGAGGATTGGCAGAAATACTCAGCCAACCGGACGCTTCACTGAACACCCCTTCTAGCTTGGCTGGTTAACAGTCCCTTCCTCTTTCCCCACATGCATCCATGTTAACTCACCAGCTGTACATAGGCGACCTTGTAATCTGGCTTCTTCACTCTCTGATTCTTGTGATTCCTCTTGTTGTTTGCACCTGCAAGAAATGAAGACAGTCCCACCTTTTACTTCCCAGGACTTCCAAGTGCCCCAAAGCAAGGCCAAGCTGAAGGGCGGACTTCACTAGTTTTGATTTATCGTTAAGAGGAATACTCTTTCTTCAGTACCAACACAGTATCACAATTACTAAAATGTACTGAAATTGGTAGACACTACTCTCCTCGTTTACAAGTACGGAACCAAGGCATCACCAGACTCAGGCTGCTGACAGCCATTGTGCCTTCAGTCACACACAAAGTTTGCAAAGAAGCAAGGAGGTAAGCCTCCTGAGAAGGGGGCCAGGAGTGGTAAACTGTCCTCCCAACATCAACAGCTTCAGGAAGACAAGGAGGAAATGACCACCAAACAGCTTCAAACTTGTCAATTTTTACTACCCAGCTAATGAGCTGGATCTACTGTTTATACACCAGGAAATTACACTCCACATCCAAAAAAACCAAAGCACCTCAACCTTCTGCAAGTATGCTGGTCACAACTAGGTGGGAAGTTCAATTTATTCCCTGCATGTTAGGCAGATGTTAAAGCTCTCAAATTATTAGACATTCTAACCCCCTTTCCTCTTTTATCCCTGAATATATACATTCTACCATCACTTCCATTAGCAGTGGAGGACAAAACGGTTATAAGGACAAGCATGAATATTTTTCAGTGCTGTTTGGAATTGCATGTGTTTGGTATTTAAGACTTTATTTAATTCTATTTTTCACATAAGCATATTACAGATGATCTTTCTGTTTTCTCTTCCTTCTATGTTCTGAGTTTTACAACCTTATTTTGAAGCTTTTTCTTTCATTCTACATTTTTCACTATTACAGCTCTTTTTTCCTATCCCTTTTTCAAAATCATCCCTACTCTTACCATTATAAACACATCAATCAATTCCTTTGCTAGAGGAATTGATGCTTTCATGTTTTCACTGCATGAAAAAAGAAAAAGACAGCCATCAAAGATGTCCTAACCAACAAGTCACTCTCCATTTGATTAATGCACTGCCTGGTCATCAAAAAGGTAAATAACATGAAAATTATATTCCTGACTTTGCACTGCATCCAAACTGCAGTCAGAGAAGCTCTGGGGAAGGAAGCATTCCTTCCTTCCTTCCAGACCTTATATAAATCTAGCTTATTTCAGTTAGAGGTGGGTCCCTCTGCTCCACGTCAGAGTTCAGCATAACTTAAACTAGCAACATTTTTTCTTTTTCTCTTGGGTTGCTTTTATGTTGGTTTTTTGGTGGGGTTTTTTTTTGGTAAGGTTGGCACAGGGGAGAAACATCGTGAGTGGAAGCATACAAGTCTGTAGCAGAAATGTGGTAACAACAGGTGATGAAAAATCGAAAGTTTGTCAAGATGTTTTTCTGACGTTATCTACTGGTCTAACAGAACATTTTTCTTTGCTCTACAAACTTTGCCTTTTGTTAGACCATAAGCCCTCCTCTGTGTGCATGCCAGGTAATCTCAACTCACTTTTTTTTTTAGAAAAAGGCTATGGCTGAAATTAAGTGTAATTACTAATTTTATTAAAACACATGAAGCAGTTCCTTCTGAAGTAAGACGCCCACTGGTCTTCAAGGAGAAATGGTACCAACTACAAAAGCATATAGCACAAGCTAGATAACTGTCAAGATGATAAGGCTTTTTAAATCCAGATTTTTCTTTTTAAAACTAAACTTATGTCATAATCTAATCAAAGCATTCAAATATAAAGTGGTGCATATTCATTTGAAGGGACAAATAAGCTGACAGACATCACCAGCTAAGCACCTGGCACCAAAGTTTGTTGAAATCTAATGGACCTTTTGAGAGGAAAAGTCTATTCTGGCTGTGCAGGGATGCTGTGTTCATCCCTTTGGATTACTCAACTGCACTTACCATACTGTATCCTGGTCCTCACAGCAGCTACCGGCACATTGTATATTTTTTCAAGGTAATTCTTGATATCCACTTTTGTCATTCTAGGTAATGCAAAAACATTTTTGGAGAAAGAAAGAAGGAAAAGTATAAATATTTAAATAAAATAAAACAGAGCCAGAGTATTTATAGGCTGGTTGATACTCTGGAATAAATACGTCTTCTCCTTTTAACCAAGGTAGCTTTACTGCACAAAAGTATAAACTCAACGTAGATCACACACTGCTACAGCAATTCATTATCCATAAACTGTAACAATGACAAATATTTTATCCTCTGTAGCCTCAACTGTCAAAACCCCAGATATATTCTGTATTCAGCGAGAGCGGGTAGGCTTTCTCACTGCCCAAGCTGAGAATCCTTTCTAATCTTCTGAATAGCATTTTCTAATCTTTTCAGGACCTGTCACAGGCTTATGGGCTTTAGTGTGTGCAACCCCATCGGTCAGGGTGAGAGTCCTAACAAATACCTGGACATCACCTTGTTTTCTCTGGATCATTTTCATACACACTTCCTTCTTCCTAAGCCTGTCCCTGGGAAGGCTGAGCCTCACTAACACTCAGGAAGAGAAGCCAAGCAAAGCTCATACTTAAACTAGTGCCCTTGCAGCCCTCTAAAAGGTCTCCCTGATGCAGAAGCCCCTTCCCCCAGCCCAAAGGGTGCTATGTGGCACCTCGCCTTCCCACCCCTCAGCTAACCAGACAAGCTGCAGCCCAGAAGGCAGTGTGCCGAGACGTGTGGCGCTGGCGGGGGGG